TTGCTTAATTTTATATGACCTTGTGCTAGGTCATTGAATTGGATAAAATGACCAAATGACTTATGACCAGTCATCAAAGTCAGATGTCATATGACTGGTCATTTGCCAACACTGGAATAACCAATATTTAAGCTAACCTGTTCTTTTAACTGTTGTTAGAAAGTTCTAGTCTGGCTCTAAAATTTTTATCATGGTTGAAAATCGCTTGCTATATGAAAAACGAGATTTTTTTTTTGAAGTGGACGATAATAATTTTATTCGTGTAACGTTTATATTGAAATGACATTTGATTTGCAATGTCCTGCGACTAATAATAGAATATAATATTAATATAATATTCTAATTCACAAAATAATTTCAGAAAAGATATCTGAAAAAATAAATATATATCATTAATTGACAAAAATGGACAGGTTAATTTTAGTAAGTTATGTTCATAACTAATCTTAATCATTTGACGTTTTTCTTAAAATAATTTTAATGATTACTCCAAATAAGCAAAATCAAGAAGAAGTCATCGAAGAACCTCCACCTGTTCAAATAAAGAACTCTATTAGCAATAAGGTTCCAAACGATTTGTTTCGATTCAAATTCAAAAAAAACTGAATTCGGTTCAAATCAGATTCCTAAATTTTTTTTAATGTCCTATTAAATTTATATTTTTAATTTGATAATTTATTACAATACCTCGGTTTAATAATAATATTCTTCTCAAGATAGTAATAACGGATTTTTTTGTAAATGTTTTTCTAATTGCCTATACCATTTGCTAAACCAAGATTGTGTATTTTTTTTAACTGATAAGGATATTATTTAATGATGGCGGCCGAAATTATTTTTGAAAAAAATGCAGTTTCGCTCAATACTATGGCAACCCAATATTTTTTATAATAACAAACATATAATAGGTATCTAATCAATCTACTTTGTTTTTAATTTCGACAATTTCGGCCACTAAGCAAGGCAGTTTCAGCCAACGTCACTAAATAATAATAATATTATTAATTGATAACAATAATGATAACGTAATGACGAATAAAAAGTAATACAATTTACAGTTGCACAATTCATCAATACATATAACTAATGAATGATAATGATTGTTATATATTCGAATCAGTTCGAATCAAATTGTATATTCAAATCAAATCGAACTCAAGTTATATATTCAAATAAAGCGAATCAAAAATTAGGCGATTCGATTCGAATTTCATTGATTCATTTGGAGCTTTAAAAAAAAATTAAACATATTAAACCAACAATTCGAAAAGTTGCAACTAAGCAACAATGAAATTAAACCATTAAACCGTTTTAAACGCGAAATTAAAAAAATAGAATTTGATTCAAATCAACAATCAACAAATTTTATTTTTGCAAAAACAGTTATATATTTATATATATTATTTATTTTAAATTTATAAACCACGTGATAATTACGAATTTCTTATACATATTAATATGTAAACTCGATAAGTCGGCCAAAATTTTCTTAATATTTAAGTAATTTAATTCGATAAGTCGGTTTACTCGATAAATCGGTCATATGAGCTCACCCCACATGACCGACTTATCGAGTATAGGGTGTACTGTACACAGCGTTTAAAAAGGAAATGAATTTTTAAAAAAATGATGTGATTAAATATTTTTGGTGTGAACGTTTTATGCACACTAATTTAAAAAAAAGGAAATAAAAAACGAAAAAAAATAAAAAATAAAAAACCAAATTTACGTTATTAACTTTTCTCATGATTAATCTTATATATTATTTAATTTTGATTTTGGGGTTGGTTGTTGTCATTGATTTTGGTTGGGATCAAAGTTTCGAGATTGTTGTCGTTGATATAACTGTTGTTGATATGGTTGTTGCTGTATTGATATCCATGTAGGTGTAATTGATTTGTTTGTACCTGTTGCTGTTGCTGCTGGTTTATTTGTGACTGTTCCATTTCTTCACTTGTCTCCTCAAAACAAGTCAATAAACTCCAGAAAGGGTCCGAATCAAATTGCTCTTGTGAAACTTGTTGAATTGGTCTAATTTCTTGAACTTCTTGTGGGGCATCATTATAACCATCAATCATAATAATACGATTAAAAACATCCGATAAATTTGTTTGTGATGCTGGAGTTCCGTTTCCAGTAATATCATTAACTTGAGTGGCTTGAGATAACTCATTAGGCGGAGTTAAACATGGAGGAAAAAGCGAAGCATCTTTTGTGTAAGACACACCTGAAAAAGTGGAAGACGATGTATTTGCATCACCGTTCGTGTAAGGAGCAGAAGACGGATAATCTAATGGTTGCAATGTAATTGGGTAATGGTTATTATTAATTTCATTTGGTCTTTGTTGCAGTAGCTCCGGTTGTTGTTGTAGCTGTTGTGGTTGTTGATCTCCCGAAGCCTTAAATTTCTCAGCAGCAATTTTTGCTAATATATCATAGAAACCTCTTACTTCAGGTGATTCATTCTTCCAAGCCACACCAGCCTCAATCGATACAGTTATGAAGTCCTTTTGATCCTTAAGAGATTTGCTATAATTTTTTCGATACAACACAAATCTATTCTGAGATCTTGTTGGGGATTTTTTTTTGATTTTTTTAGTACTAGGAGAAATTAACACTTCGATTGGTAAATAAAGTTGACAAGGACGACTTAAGAAAATACGAAGTTCAACATCATTAAGCCCTGCATTAACAATACATGACATTAACGTGGGCGTTAAATAACCTTCACTATCAAGCTGTACTTCAATATCACGTAATAATAGTAAAGAACTTTCATTAATTGTTGTTATTTGATAGTAATACATGTTATTGTTATTAAATAAAAAATTTTTTTCGATTTTTCAAATTTTAAAAAGTGCGATTGTTGCTTTAATTTATAATGTCATAAAAACTAATCTATTGGTCAAGTCTGTTTGTAAATAAAAATAAAGATAACGGCCTGTTATCTAAAAGCAGTAACGTTTTTAGCAGGCAATAAAATAGCAATGGTTAACACAACTATTTTAAATTTATGAACAATCGATAAAAAAATGGTATACAAGATATATTTCAATGTGTTAACAACAATTTGTTCATTACTATTGAACACAACATGTGAATGAATAACATGACATCAGTAAAAACAAACATAACGGAAGAATCAAATATATTGCTTGTTAGATTGCAGTTGGCGCTCGATATAGTGAAGTTTTGGCTAGTACAAATTTGGAAACCATCTTCTGAAAAATTGAATTTGATTGGATATTAACGCAGATAGTTTCCAAATTTGTACTAGCCAAAACTTCACTATATCGAGCGCCAACTGATATATATATAATTATAAATAAATATCATATAAAAAAATAACGAGGTACATAATATAATTTCAACGTGACATACGAATGGCATTAACAAACGTCGTCGTTTTAATATCAAAGAACACTATTTTAGTGAACAAGGAAAGCGATGAAATAAAAAAGATTCCTATTTATTTGTTTGTTTATAATTGCTGATAATAAATAAAACTTTAAATTTATTGCCAAAAAAAAAAAATAATGTATGTATGAAGGGCGAGTATATTACTAAAAATAATTTGTTACGGCAATAACTTTTTGCTAATAGTAGTAGTTACAACATTGTAATAATAGTTAATGGTAATTGAAACTTAAACACAAGATATTCAATTGCTTGAAATAATAGCATTCATTGGTATAAAATACGGCATGTATACGAATGGCAATTTTTGTCTAAAATAGATAAACTCTTGTTTTCAAACAATAAATAAACCAATTTTATTTCCTTTATTTCCCAAAACAATTAAAAAAAATCATCAATAAATAACCTAGTGTTTGTTGGTTGGTTTAATGTTACATTTCAGTGAATAACAATTAAAATGGGAGTCCAATTTAATTTAATAAACATTACGCAATTGCACTCAATTTTTATAGTTATTAATGATATGCGAATTGATTACGCATCATCAATGTTCGTGTGTGAGAATTGAAAATCAAAAAAAAATCTTGCATACAAAAATTCTGATTGGCTAATTGAATTTCGCACATGTGAATTTCAAATTAACGCATAACATTATAACATTGATAAAGAACTAATATGGTAAAATTTAATAACCATTGTTACAAAAATTGGTGAATGAATCATTCATTGATGGTCCAAATAGAGTTGTAAATAATATTTTCCTATTTAATTACTATTCATACTATTCATTATAATTTATATATTTATTATATTATTTATCACGCAATGCCCAAACATATTCTTTTAAATTGATTCTTTATTCTATTTTTCAATTTTCGAATAATTAATCAAAATAGATTAATTAAATTATTTTTATCCATCTACATTGAAACATTGATTTAAACACGAATGTGTCATTCTTATAGCGACATTATATACAGTCACAATAATAATCACAGGACTTTATGGTTGCCTTTTTTATATATTAAGTCACTTTCATAACGTAATTATTTTGTAATTTAAAAAACAAAGGAAAAAATCTTGTAATGTATTAAATAAATAAAATAATTGTTTGATTAAAATAATCACAAGTTTCGAGTTTTAAAATTAAAATAATATTGCATAAAAAACCAAATATTTGCTTAATATTTTAATCAATTATGCTTCCTAAAAAAGAAAAAAACAAAAACCAGCCATAAGTGAACAATTAAAAAAAGAAATTTGTGTTTACCATCAAAGAAAATGATCAAAAAAACCCATAAAGAAATAAAAAAATTAACAATTGACGATGAAGAAAAATGGATCGGTATTTCAATTTTAGCATTTTTCGTGAAATTCTCATATCTAGTAAATACTATGAGTTTCTGAATCAAAGTTAGTACTCAAGTTCTTGTTAATATAGATAAAGTGGTTGCAGAAAAAGCAAAAGTGCGTCCGTAATGCAAGGATCTCTAGTTTTTATATATAGTGTGACAGAAGTTTCGACCAGTGATTTAATTGTATAGAATCCTTGAGGATCTTTGTAAATTAATTTTTGTTTATGCGTTTTTTTTTCTTAGTTTAGAAAAACAGATTCAAAATGTCATGTAAATACGGTTTCTTTTTAATAATCTTTGAAAAGGTAGGTGGGTAGGTGTTTTTGAAGATATACAAGTTCAAATATTATAAGTCAGCGACTACATCTTGAAAATAACAGTTATTATTACTTAACTACTAGATTATTATAAAGTCTTGGTGTATTGTTGTTATTTAATATATCATTATTATTGTTACTGTTATTATTATTATTACTAACTTGTATTATTTAAAAAAGTAGATTTGAGCCATGCAACTAGAACTGTTGGTTTACTCATTCATTCGTTAAAAAGAAATTTATTAATATAGATTACTAACATTGTATTAATATTGTTTTCTTCAAAAAAATGTATCTATTGTTACACGATCATCAAAGGAAAAAAATTAACATCAATATCAAAATCTTATTAATGGTAACAGATAATGATACTATACACTATTAATAATAATTTCTATTGTATATGTAATATTTGTTTTCTTCAAAAAACAGATCTACGGCTAAATTGTTACGCGACCATCAAAAAAAAAAAATACCCTCTCTAGTTAATATATATTACTAATGATAACAGGTGATGCTGTTACTAATAATAATTCATATTGTATATATAACATTGTATTAATATTCGTTTTTTTCTATGGTTGAACGATGAATGGTTGGTTGTTACGCGACCACCATGGTACCATTAATGGGTAATAGGTAATAATATTACGTACTATAATAATAATTCTTATTGTATACAACATTGTATTAATGTTTGTTTAAATAGATCTATGGTTAAACGATGGATTATTGTTACGCAACCATCAAAATATTCTAATTGGTACATATTATTAATAATATTAATATTTGTTTTCTTCAAAAAAATGGATCTATGATTAAATTATTGTTACACCACCATCAAAGAAAAAAATTTGAAATCGTAATTTATCAAGTTTAAAAGGGCTATTGTCAGTAACAAAAAACAGCACACTGCCGGTGCAAACTATAAAATCCAGTGAATCCATCGGAAAATACTGTTGTAGACGGGAAATTTGCACCCATTGAAAGAACAAATGGAGGATTGGTCTATTAAAGGTTAGACCAAAGGAATTCAGTTCATCTGTTTGAAGGATCTATCAGTTCTGCAATGGGCTCCGTTGTAAAAAGAATCACTGGGTATGCAGGGTTTGACAATTGGTAGGCTGGAGTCAAGCGCGGTAAATTTGTATTAAGAGCGATTGGCACTACGTACATAAAAACAATTTTTAAAAAAACTTATTCGATATTGATATTGAAGAGATTTATTATTGTTGTTTGAGCTATTATTATGATTATTTAAAAAAATGATATAATTTATGGCCGGTATTTTAATTTTGGTTTGCATTATTGTGATTATGGGATCAGATCAGTGTGATTATTTTGGATTTTGTTAGTGGTGACTTTAGAACAGATGAATTATAGGAAAGGGCTATTCATCAAGACATGAATAAAATTATTTATTAAATAAATAGCGGCTCACCGATGCGTAAGTGGTAAAATATAGATGGATATATATATATATAAATAAGAATAGCCTGTCACATACTACGCGTGAACAACACTCATTGGTAGGAATAAAAATAATAAGAATGGCTGGTCACATACTACGCGTGAACAACATTCGTGTGTTTTTTAAATTTAAATGGCGATCCATTATCGCCACCATTTTGTTATTTTGTTGCAAATAATTGCAAATCAATTGCAACAGATATTTTATTGGCGTGTATTATGTAATACAATTCCATTTTGTTTGTTTAATATATTACGTACGTGACTCTAATAATAACTAATGATTTTCGTAAAAGATAATCAAACTTACCAAGTTATATTGATTTATGTTATTATTATTAAAGATGGCTCCTCAATTAATTACGACTAATTGAAACTAAATGTGGCATATAAAAATTGAGTGCAGTTGCAGAATATTAAAATTGAATTGCGGATTTCATCTTTCAAACTATTGAAATACATGACGTGTAACATTAGTTTCTATAACTGGCCATTTATTTTATTTTTTTTCTCAATAAAGATAATTTACTTATTTAAACATTTACATACATGTGTCATGGTTTATGGCAATGGATGCTATTATTTCAAATTATTGAAATATATCGTGCTTAATTTTTAAAGTGATAGTTGTGTAAAATCAATTACTAATTTATTACGTAAAAAATTACATTTAGATTAATAATATGCACTTCGTATATATACAAATGAAGCCACATTTTTTTTGGACAACAAATTTAAAAATGTTATATTGTAACTTGTCAGCTTTATTATTATCAATAATTAAAATAAGGATTTACCCGAAATATGAAATTTCAATGGTTCTATTCAACTTTCAACGTACTGATCAATCTGCGACAGTGTTGTTAAATGTGGAACACAGCATATTTAGGGGGTCCTAACAGATGTAACAGATAATAATTGTTTTGGAAGTTTAACATTAATCTGCACCCAATCCAAGGATCTACATTCTCAAAACATGATGTTCAACCTTTTAACAGGAGTGTCTGTGTAGTTTGGTGGTTATGTGTAACCCCAATTTTAATTAGTAGGTTTATATACCGGTAAGAAGGTTTAACCTTAGGATCGACGTCTCAAATAGTAAGGTTAACCCTTGTTGTAGATCCTCGGATTGCTGTTAATGTTTATTTATTTGCTTATCATATGATCTTTATTTATAATTATTTATCAAGATCTTTAATATTGAATTGACGCATTTGTTTGTTTGTTTTTTATATTGATTCATTCACATGTTGTGTGATGTAACATACCAACTTTCTCGCTCCTAAGTTAGCAATTATATAAAATTAATTAACTAAGGAAACATGAAAAAATGTTTTCGATGAACAAATGTTTTTAATGACAATGTTTTCAATGAATAATGTCTTATTATCTTAGGTAAAATGTCATTCCCTAATACTATTTTTAGAATAATAAGATCTATCAGCCTGTTATTTTTACAAATTGAATTAAAAATGACTTTTGATGATGAATTTTTAAAAAAAAATCTCTAAAATTTAAAAACCGAGTTATTGATAAAAAAATTTTTTTATAATGACTAATCATCTAATAGATATTAATAATGAAATTTTTGTAATATCCTCATTATTGTTATTATGTATTATTAAAGCACGACTTGATAATGTTAAAGTTAGACTTCTTTTAAAACCACCTTGTGAACTCTATTTATCAATAGAAGAATTAACTGCGCCAAGAAACAATCCAACAAAAACCCCAAACCTCAGAATCGGTTTTTTTGTATCAAAAAAATTACCACAAATCTCTTGGGGGTGGAAATAATGTGCCGGATGTTTCGAAAGATTCTGGGGAAGGCTTGGAAGAATGAATCAAAATGAATTATAATTTACAATAAAAATATCATTACGAGTAATTACTAATTATGTCAGCCGATAAAAACTTCTAACCGGCCAAGAATCAATAGTTATCCATTATTATTATTGCCTAATTGTCCACCATTATATACTATAATTATTACCATTACTGTTATTATTATTTAAGGTATTAAAGGTTCACTATTACTGAACAAAATATTATAACTAATAATTGACTGTTACCATTACTACCATTAATAATATCATCAACTGATGGCTTTCGATTATTAATTAATAAATCATTATTACTATTAATCCATATATCTTTAGATTTTATTCTAATACGAATATTAAAATAACCAGCTGTGATTTAGGTAGATTTTTGGTAGGTTTTTTTCCTTTTTGGAATACTAAAAAAACCGAGAAGTCAATTACCAGCTGGCTAAGCCGAAAATTCTTAGCCGACTAGTGTCAATAGAAAATATACCCAAATACATTTATCAGTTGGCTAAGCCGTTAAATTTTTTGACTTGTCGACATCAGTAACAAAATCTTTTAAAGAAAACAATTATCGTGTGTGAAATTAAAATTAGTCAATAAATTTCGAATTCAAATAATCATAATCATCTTCAGATTATAGTAAAGCATTTGTTGTTTGATTAATAACATTTTGTGATAAGAAATTGAATTTGCAATTCATTCATTATAAAATTTAATCAAAAATAAATTCTTTTATTTAAAAAAAATAATACACAACATTTAAAAAGAATGATGTATCATGCGTATCATTTAAAGAATGATGACACGTAGCATTAAAAAAGAATGGTGTATAGGTGGTGTGTAGATTTAAAAGAATGACATGTAGCATTTAAAATGAATGTATTGTACATTGAAAAAAATGATGTCATAAAAAACTTTTGGTGTTCGTGTGAATGTTTATACACACTAATTTAAAAAAAGAGAAAAAAAATATTCAGCGATGAAAAGAATTTATTTATGATAAAGACAAAAATAAAAAGAACATTTTTTTAAAAATCAATAAACTTTCTCATAATTGATTTTATATGTTGTTTAACGTCAAGTTTGATTTGGGTTTGGTTGTTGTCGGACGTTGATGTAACTGTTGTTGATATGATTGTATTCGTTGTTGCTGCCTTTGATGTCGGTGTATCTGTCGCTGGTATAATCGATTTGTTTGTACTGTTGCTGCTGATTTATTTGTGACTGTTCCATTTCTTTATTTATTTTCTCAACATTAGCATTCAAACTCATCCAGTCCCAGTTATTAGATTTCGTTCCTTTTTGAACTTCTTGAAAATCGGCGGCTTTTTGCATGATGTTATCATAAGAAATACCACCATCATCCGCGTGATAAGGATCAAAAACATATTCCGGGACAACTACTTGTGATGGTTGAGTTGCATTTTTAGTAGTACTATTTGATTGGGTGGCTTGAGTTAACTTGTTATTTTGTGGATAGGAAGAATTAGGAATGCAAGAAGAAGATGAATCTTTCGTCCAAGAAGAGGAAGATAGATTAGGTGAATTGTTATAATTAATATTAGGATGATATGGAGTGGAATATGGAGATAAAGAAGTGGATAAATTGGAACAAGTGGAAGATGATAGATTTGTATTATTGTTCGTGCAAGAAGAGGAAGATATAGGTGAATTGTTATAATTAATATTAAAATGAGGTGGAGCGAAATGTGGAGATAAAGAAGTGGATAAATTGGAACAAGTGGAAGACGATGGATTTGTATCATTGCTCGTGCAAGGAGAAGAAAACTGATAAGGTAGTAATGATTGTGATGGAATTACACAATTACTTTATTAATTTCAATTTGTCTTTGTTGTAGTAGTTGTGGTTGTGGTTGTTGAGCTTTACAACCAAATTCTTTCAGTAGCTGATCTCCCGAATGATACATTAAATTAAATTTTGTAGCAGCCAGTTTCTCTAATATTTTAAAGTATGGCTTTACTTTATCCAATTCTTCATCCCAAGCAACTTTAGCTATAGCAGGAGATTTTCTATTATTGTTTCGATACAATATAAAAGCGTTCTGAGACTTGGTTGGAAGGTTTTCTTTGTTGTTTCCAGGTGAAATCAACTCTTCAATTGGTAAATCAAGTTTACAAGGAGGACTTAAAAGAAGTCCAACTTCATCATTATTAAGTTGTGCTTTAATAACATTTAATAATAATGGAGAGTATATTCCAACAACTTCATGATTGATATGTATATAAGACATATTATAACACAAATGGGAAAAACTTTGAACGAAAGAAAATAATTAATTTTAATTTAATTTTTACCCTTTACCCAAAATTTTGATTTTTTAAATTATAAAGAGGAAAGGAAAACTTCGACTTTGATATAAAATTTTTAATTTATAACGAACGCTATATAAAAGTTCATTGTTATTTTTAATTAAGGAAAATAAAATAAAATAAAATATTATTACGAGAGAACGAATATACACTGCACTAATCTATTGATATATAACACGACATAACAGCATGAATATTTTGATCATCGGATAAAGATTATACATCATAAATATTCTAAAACCGCATTCATTTTGATTCACAATTTCCAATATTATTGTTATTGGCGTTCTCAGACGATATTTTTAGAAATTTCAATAATCATTACATTTGATCAACCAATAAAAATTATCATAAATCACATGATATGTTCGTACAATGTACTAAAAAAATTTTAAGCTCATACGTACGTGTACGATACGTGCATGTGTACGTGTACGATTCCCAACCCTGAATACAACTACATCGTTAAAAAAATAAAAAAAATAAAAAAAAATAAACAACAAAAAAAAAAATTAAATTTATTTTATTCTAGCATATAGTATTCTTCAATTCTTGTTTGTACTCTTTCTTGAGAATTTTTGTAAGAAGTTTCCTTCTTTAATTTATTGACATTTCTAATTACTTGGAA